ACACCTCACTCTGCCTGAATGTCTGCCCATGCACTGTTCCCTCTGCAGCATTGCTACACTGCGTCCACACCTCATTCTGCCTGAATGTCTGCCCATGCACTGTGCTCTGGGCAGCATTGCTACACTGTGACCACACCTCACTCTGCCTGCCTTGTCTGCCCATGCACTGTGTCTCTGCAGCATTGCTACACTGACCACACCTCACTCTGCCTGTCTTGTCTGCCCATGCACTGTGCTCTGGGCAGCATTGCTACACTGACCACACCTCACTCTGCCTGTCTTGTCTGCCCATGCACTGTGTCTCTGCAGCATTACTACACTGTGACCACACCTCACTCTGCCTGTCTTGTCTGCCCATGCACTGTGCTCTGGGCAGCATTACTACACTGTGACCACACCTCACTCTGCCTGCCTTGTCTGCCCATGCACTGTGTCTCTGCAGCATTGCTACACTGACCACACCTCACTCTGCCTGAATGTCTGCCCATGCACTGTGCTCTGGGCAGCATTGCTACACTGACCACACCTCACTCTGCCTGCCTTGTCTGCCCATGCACTGTTGTCTCTGCAGCATTCCTACACTGCGACCACACCTCACTCTCTGCTTTGGGTACTCTGAAGTTGGACAGCTCCAGTCTGTCTTCCTCGCCTACTCCTCTGCTCTCTCCCCCTCACTGCAGTCTTTGGCTATGGATCCACCTGTGTAGCTCCCACACCATCTCGTCCTTTCTTCTCTTTCTTTTTCTCTCTTTTTGTGGATTAGCTGGGCTTGTGGAGGTTAACTGCATCACAGTGATGTAGTTTTATATCCATTCTCGGATTAATTGCATCAGGTCTTGAAATAAGGACAGGGCTTCCATGAGTTGTTTTACACTTGGTGGTGATCTGAGTGTCCTGGCAGAGAATTCTGCTCATAATAGGTGATGTGATGTGTGTGTGTGTATGTGTGTGTGTGTGTACTGAATACGATCAGAGGACTCTGAAACAGCAGAACTTTGACAATGGGATTTCCTTTGGGAATGTAAAAATGAAGCCAGTACCCAGCAAACAGAAATGATTTCAGGGAGACTGCATCGAAGGTTCAAGAAATAAGCTTGATCGGCACGCCTTGTATTTTTCTAAGAAAATGATTCCCATGTTTCCTGGGACTCAGTTCAGAGTCACTGTGTTTTACCCAACGTCTGTGGCCAGCAGGTGCATGTGAGACAGAACTGAGTTCACGTTGGAAACGGGAGCAGCAGGCTCTTCAGGAGAACCGTCTACTTCTTAGGTTCTATTTTACACCCTTCTATTGTTGTTGCCTTCCTGGTACTTCTCCCAGCCAGCCCATCCCCCTCAGGAGATAGAGGCCCCACAAGGAACATGACCTGTGGTCCTCCAGAGAGTCCTTTGGAGCCCTCCAGCCTGCTCTCAGCCTCGAGTCAGGTGGTGTGGACTCCCTGCTCCAGCCTCACTCCCCAGAGTCAAGGCCAGGTCCTCACCGTCACCCGCAGAGTCGTCTCTTTAGCCCAGTGTTTGCTTTTCTCCTCGCTCCCTCTGCTCCAGCCACACTGCAGCCCCAACGGCCTGGGAACAGGTGCTTACACCCCACAGCCCCAGGTCCCCATTGCCTCCTGCAGGCTGCAGCTCCCCCATTTGCTGTCAGGGGCCTCTCACCGTGGGAGCGTCCTGCCTTATATTTCTCCTTATCTCTCATCCTGCCTGGAACATTTCCTTTCTTCCTTTTTCATTCTCTGTCTCCATCATGGAGGAGTTCCCAGCACATACTTGGTGCTGAGTCAGTCCTGGTTAATTGATTGGTTAACTGATGGTTGATTCTGAAGGAATGAATCTTGGGAAGAGATGGCAGTTATTCCCCCTCATGCTACACCAGGCTGAAAGGATAAGAGCAGGTGACGGGAAAAGTCGCGGTTTACTTTGTAGAGTCGATTGGTTTATCTCAGCAGCATGACGGGTGGACGCCCGGATCTGAGGTTTTCCCCTGGACCAACGTGACTTTTCTGGAACACAGAGTCGGGAGGGTGGGCTGAGAGATACAGAAACCCCACCTGTGATTGCACACTGCAGTTGGCTCCGTGTTTCCTTGCAGTTCTGGGAGAAGGTGGTGGAGCTCAGGTACCGGGGCGGTCACGCTCTTCCACCTGTAGATGACACTCACGCCCCCAAAGACAAGATTTTCAGCTTTCACTAATATACAGTATCTCACCCTGTCTAAGATGATGTTTTTGCCTTTTCAGTTGAAATGTCAGAATTATACCTTTGAAGTGTCAAATGAACAATATGAAATGAGAAAAAAAGAAAGCACCAAGGACAAGAATTTTCATTCTGACTTGTTAATACTATATTCAGATCCTTGAATTATATCAATTAAATCCCTGGTTATAATTAACAAAGTTCTCGAATGAGACAATTAGCAGAGAATAAAAAGATCATTTGAGTGACTCGCTGCATGGTGCACCTCCAGCTAAGTGGTGGAAATGTATCAGCCTGTGACCCTAGGTGGGGCATGGGTGGGTGTGCACTTGGCCAAGAGGCCCAGCCAGCCAGAGCTCAGCACAGCAGGGCTGGGGTCCCTGCACGGCCGGCATGTCAGCCATCACCACTGTTCTGCACAGTTGGCCTCTGCCTTTTCCACAGTAGAGCCATTGGGGGGTCGGGGCCCTGTAGGTCTCACGAAGACTGCAGAAATGGCTGTGGAGAGCTTGTCTCTGGAGTCAGGTCATGTGGGGTCCGAATTCCACAATCATAAGAGGGTTGTCATGTGGGCCCCATGTCACTTGCACTCACTCAGCGCTCAAGGAGGGGGAGCCCCAGGGCCTCCTACTAAATTCATTGCAGTGTTGGAACCTGAAGCTTGGAGGTTTGATTCTCAATGCAGGTTCTCTCCTGTTTAGACAACGTGGTCACGTCACCGACGCCTTTTACCCCCTTGAACGCTGTGGAACACAGTCTGTCTGAGTCATGGGATGTGCTGCTGCCCCACTGGCAACATCCTTGCAGGAGAATGTCCCAAACCTGCACCCTGTCCCCACAGCCCACTGACCCTCCAGACGCATGCTCCATGGTACCAGTTCCCCCTGTTCCCTTATGCCCTAGAAATTTCTTTCCTTTATGTAGCAACTGCAATATGGCCATGAAAAATACAGACATAACTTCAGAGCCTGGTGTGTAAGAAATCACATTTTTGTCACCTATCAATAAAGGGGAAAAAAATTACTGGATACTACAGTCACCCACAAATCATTTAGGTCCTTCCGGTGTTATCAAAATGATGAGCAGAATGTTTCCTATCCTTGCCTCTGGGGCTACGATTTCAGTGTTCAGTTTCCGTGGCTGTTCTTGCTATTTTTGTGCCTTCCTATCCTGAGTGTGATACAGGAGCAGAAATCTATATTTGAAAAGGAGGGGTTGTTGCTGATGTTGGTCCCTTTATTTTGTCTAGCTCGTGGCTAGCAAGATTGTGGTGATTCTCAATCCAGGAAAAAATAATATACTGAGTTTCCAGTGACAATGCTAAGGATTTAAAAAAGAAAGAAAAAATGTTTTCTACTGAGAAGTGAAGTAGGCGCTGTCTTGGTCAGCGCAAGGTGCGATAACGAATTGCCACAGACTGGGGGCTCACGCATGGCAGTCACGGACTTCTTAGGGGTGCAAGGCCTCACACACAGCAGTCACAGACTTCTTAGGGGTGCAAGGCCAAGATCAACATGAAGCAGGTGCGGCTTCTGCTGAGGAGCTGCTGCCTGGGTCATGGGGCGGGCGGAGAGAACTCTGGGCTCTTAGCTCCTTCCAAGAGCACCGCCATCCTCATGCACGTCCTCCTACAATCACATTGGGAAAGAGGATTTCAACCTACACATCTTGGGGACACAGCCTGCAGCCCATAACGGGTGCACGTCCTCAGCCTATGCTGCACACCAAACCCATCGTTCCTGCCACCCTCTCCCCCAGGCTGGCTGCAGGTTTATGCACAGCACCGGCAGAAATAAAGAAGTGCAAGTGAGGCCGGTGTGGCTGTCCACAAGGCTTGCTCAGAACTCACTGCCTCCCCCTTCACTGCGAGGGCGGTGAATGAAGTGTGCAGGCACTGCACTGCCTGTCTTAACTGCCCCGAGAGGGGGAAAAACTCACTCAAAGAGGCCCCATCTGTTGCTGCAATTTTAGATGACACACAGAGGTGTGATGCAGAATAGCACAGAGAACTTTCGTGAGATGAAGTTTGGTGCTGACTTGCTACCAGCTCAAAGAACAGCCCAACTTGAGAGTTAGACAAACGCAGTGGGCCGTGGTCGCATGGCTCTTTGCTCAATTCTTTCTTTTTGCTTTCTCCTCTTCTTCCTCCCTCTCGACATCCCTTGCTTATATGTCAGCTTAAATTCCAAAGGGAACTTCAACATATTTTTTTTTGTTAAAATGAACAATCTAATTTTGCAAGTATATTTTTTAATCTACAGGAAATTATTGTCTGCTGTGAATTTCAGGTAGGCAATGGAAGTCCTTTAAGCAGAGCTACTTCTCAAACTAAAATGTCCTTCTCGAAAGTTCAAATGCTCAGTACCTAACAGGGCAGGGGCGGGGGGCAGCTATTCTGCCTGGCAACTGAGTGTCCAGGCTGTGGTGACCGTCCTCCACTAGGGACTCTGACTGCTGCTAGGTTCTCAAGTGTCAACAAGGAATCCATCACTAAGTGAAAGGTAGATCAGATGTCCGGATGGCAATGCTAGGTGGATTTCATTCTCTTCCAATCATCACTTGTATCATTCCATGATGGCACTACACATAAAGGACTAAAAGCTATATTTGACTCTTTGAAGATCCATGTTCCCCGTAAAAGATGAGTCTCCGTCAGCGTTGTGCAGTGGCTGGGGCATTCGGGCTCTGCGGGGATCGCGGTGGATATGGAGAGAGTCCCGGGAAACACGTGGAAAGACAGCCCTGTTGAGTTCGCTCTTTGCTTGGCAAATCCAGTCACTGCTTGCTTATCGCTGCCGCCTCCACAGGTACAAGCCGTTGGCCGACGTTCTCCTGGGCGAGGAGGAGGAGCTGTCTGCGGAGGACAGGTGCCGATGCATTCTCCAGCAGTGTAGGCTGCAAGGCTGGCAGGTGGGTGACCTCTGAGCTGGGGACACAGCAGCAGAGGATTTTAATTCAGTGAGCCGAGTCCTTGTGGGGAGCGCCAGAGTCCAGTTCCTTTGCTGCTTCTGGCGAAGGTCCACATTAAATGAATTTCCCGGATGCACACTGCTCTTTGGGATGCACTGGCTTGAGCATTGTGTAGCTGACGTGCGACGGAATCCAGCAGGCTTCATTTTACAGCCATGTTGGAGACCTCAGGATGTTCCAGTTGACCCTTTTGCAGAATCGCTTCCTGTCCTTGAGGCTTTCTGAGGCATCTAACCCATAGCAGAGGTCAGAGAAGCCGGAAAGTGCAGACCTGGGGTTGACACCCAGAGCTGGTGTCCCACAGTGTTCTGCTCCTTGGACCTGGACCTCCAGGCGGCTACAAGGCTTGGTCAGGCACCTGCTTTGCAGCTTCTCTTTGTCCCACTTCTCAGCCTGCCTCACGGGAAAGATGCTACTGTGCTCTGAGCCCGATTTGGTAGGAAATCTTCCCGACTGGGGACATGCTGTGGTCTGAGATCCACTTGAGTAGCAGGGAGCAGGGACCTCGCAGAAGCACGGAATGACTGAGGCAAGAGAACATGGGTCTTCACACTCGCAGGGCCAGGGGAAGGCAGCTGTGGGTTTGGTTGACCACCTCCAGCAACATCAGAATACCGCCCTTGACTCATGTGAGGAGGAAGGGGGTTGAACTGAGAAAGCAGTGTTAGCACAGAAAACAGAAAAAGAATCAAATCCATGATGCCAGCGTTATGTGGATACCCCCAGCCATAGAACAGAAAGGATGCCGTGGCAGAGAGAATGGTCATCAGTGGCTTTGGTGAAACCTGACAATAACCAGAAAGCAGAGATACATCTCATTTGAAAGACTGATAGCAAGCACATCTCCAGGTGAAAATGTACAGTTGCCAAAGCCAAAACTGGGGGCTTAGCCTGAGAAGTGGAGAGAGCCCGTGGTTCAGATGGAGTTGCCAGAGATGTCCAGGAATGGCTCCCTGGGTAAAACTGGCGGAGGATGCTGGGTTGACACCACCACCCTCGTCCGCCCATGGCCAACAGCAGCTGACCTAGAATTGGGCAGGGATGAGCAATGACTTGAGTCAGCCAGCAGTCTCCTCCTTTGTTCTTGCCCCCCTTGTCTTCTGTGCTAACTAATAATGGAAGGTGCACTTTAAATAGCTGTTTGAAGGAGGAAGCTTACTCAGTCTGCAGTTGCCACGGACGCACGTCAGCACCAGAAGACGGGATAAAAAGGAAGGAGGAAGGAGGAATTACTAAGCGATGATGTCAGCTACCCACTCGGGCGTCAGTGGCATGGGCGTGGGGTTGGAGGCAGCCTCATTGATCAGTGATGGCGGCTGACTCACTTCTGAGATCTTGCAACAAGAAACAGTGCAGTGGAGCTCCGGGAACAATGTAACAGTGGGGTTCTCTTTGGCTTCCTTTTAAAAATGCTCATCAGGGAAGAAGGGATCTCGAGTTGCAGAACACAGTGAGGGAATGTGGAACAGGTCTGCTGCCCAGGAAGCGCCTGGCAGGAACCACAGTGCCTGACCAGCGGTCCATCCACACAGCACCCAGAAGTGCGGGTATGAATGTGGGAGGAGCCTGGGAGGTGCACCTGCGTGGGCTGGCAGCCGCCAGTGCTGTCCATGCGCTGGTGCTGGGAGACTGAGGCTGTCGCAGGGGATGGTGCTCATTTGAACATACGTGAGACATTGAGTAGAGCCAATGAAAACAAAAATGAAAAGTGAAGGAAAGGGCTATGATTTCACGCGCTGCTCCGTTTGACCCTCTCTCTTTCACTCCCCAAAAGGAGAATCAAAGTATGAGACCACAAAGAAATTCAGAGGAGAGGAAATGTATTCCATGTGTGTACTCCATTGTCTAGTTAGGAAAACGGATTTTCTGTAGCTTCTTCAAACATAACCTTTTATGTAGTCTATATTGCGAGATAAATAACTGACTTCACATACACAGGGCTTGTTCCTAATTCACTTTTCCTACTGAGACTGAAAAAAGACGTGTTAAGCCGCTGCCTGGGATCCTCACTTCCCATCTCAGAGTGCCTGGGACTGAGTCCTACACCTGCTTCCCTTCCACTCCCTGGCAACGCACCTGGGAAGCAGCAGCAGCCGATGTCCCAAGGCCTTGGGTTCCTCACCTGTGTGGGAGACCTGGATGGTGCTCCTGGCTCCTGGCCTTGGTCTGGCCCAATTCTAGCTACCGCAGGCATTTGGGGAGTGAGCCAGTGGATGGGAGCTCTGATTCTCTCACTCTTGCTCCCCTCCTCGCCCTCCCTCCTCTCTCTCTCCTACTTTCTAACTCGCCCTTTGTAACTCTGCTTTTCAAATAGTTAAATCTTTGAAAGCAATCGAGTATTTCGGACCAGGAAAGTCAGACTCCTCCAATCTGCAAACAGAGCACTGAGTGAAACGCACGGATCATGACAGGAAGGGTTGGAGTCACCTCCACCCTGGGTGCTAATCCGTGCAACAACTAAATAAGGAGCTATTTGCCCGCAGAATTTAATATTTCCCGATGCTAAGAGTTACACTGTGGGGTTTAGTAGCACTGCTCCCGCTTTGGGCCTGAATGTTAGCATGAAATTCATAGTTCTTCTTCCCATATTCTTTGAAACAATGCAAGAGGATGGAAGAGACTGGAGTCGTCTGTGGCTGTGTGAACCGAACTACGGTGGACACGAGAAATTCGCTTCTCCTAACTGGTGGAGTCAGCCTCTTGCGGTCAAGCCAGTATGCTGTGGAGATGCCGCGGCTTTGTCATCGCCCCCTCACTCTAGCCAGGGGAAGCCTGACCCACCAGAAAGGGGCTCTCACGCTGTCGTCCTTAAGGGACATGCGCCGTGAGGCCCACCCTCTGCACACGGCACCTGCCGTGCTGTCATGCAGGCCCGTGTGAGCTCTTTATTCTCATGAAGTTGGGTTTGGAGTCCGTGTGTGAGGTCCCTGGAATTTTTAGTATGTAATACGTAAATAATAACCCCTTTCACGTAGAGCGGGCGTTCCAACGATGCCGAGTTTTGTGGGATGTTTTTCTCTTGCATACTTGATGTTAGGCCAACGCCAGCTCTGTGCAGTGAAAGGAACCAGACAAGGTGGTCGTGCATGGCTTCGGCTGAGACGTGAGGAAATGGACCATCGGAGATGGCCCTTGTGCTGGAGATCAGAACGTGGCGTGTTGTTCCCATGCCGTGTGCCGTGTGGTGGGAGGGCCGCTCTGCCAAGGCGGCACTCGGCCCGGCCTGGAGCGTGTTCTCTCCACTCCATGCCACTCCTCCTCTAGCCGCTGACACAGCACACGGGAGGTCGTTTTGTCTACACTGCATCAGCTGGAAGGGGTGGATTGTGCTTCCAGTACCAACTTCGCTCAAAAACACATAAATATTCCTTTATTCGTCTGTGCAGCCTGCGCCTTGGAGGGGGTGTCTGTTTTATGTTTATAACTCAGCATGGCGGGAAGGAAGACCCAGGGACTGCTTCCTGTCCCAGGCTGGCCCCATCAGAATCTTTCCACGTGAACTGCCAGCCCACGGTCCCAGGGCATTTGCCCTCTGCTTTCCAACTTGGCAAGGAGAGGCCCAGGAGGGGGCAGGGTGAGAAGAGAGAGAGAGAGAGAGCAGGACACAAACCCAGAGGAAAGTCCCAGCACTGTGGGGTCGCATTCTGGCTCTGAGAGCTAAGGCCCAGCTCGGACGGAGGCCATCAAGGGATGTTACAGGGCTCTGTGTTCACTCTACAAGCAAAGCCATTGAGGACAGTTTTATCAGCTCCAGGTGAACATGGCCACCTTGGCTCTCAGCAAGACATTCCCTGCCTTGGAGTTCAAGTCCACTGCACGCCGCCTTCCTGGTCTGCCCCTGCCTTCTTCCTCTCTGTGGTACCCAGGGCCTGGGCTGCCATCTGCAGGGTGGCCCGCAGCTCTCTCCCAGGGGATTTGTCTGTTGCTTGGTGGCTGTGTCTCCAGCGTGGGGACAGAGAGCTGCAGAGTGGGTTTGCTGCACCGTGTGCTGGACCATGAGACGAGACTTTGCAAATGAGAAGCTACTGAAAGAAACTTCACATAAGCCGACAGGAAATGCTTAAAACCCAACTGGTGATCCTGGAGAACTGCTTTGTGCCGAGAGTCTCAGGGAATTGTAGCTTGTATCTGTGTTTATTTTATTTTATTTTTTTGACAGGCAGAGTAAGACAGTGAGAGAGACAGACAGAGAGAAAGGTCTTCCCTCCGTTGGTTCACCCCCCAGATGGCTGCTATGGCTGGCGCACTGCGCCAATCCGAAGCCAGGAGCCAGGAGCTCCCTCCTGGTCTCCCACATTGGTGCAGGGGCCCAAGGACTTGGGCCATCTTCTACCACTATCCCAGGCCATAGCGGAGAGCTAGATCAGAAGTGGAGCAGCTGGGACTAGAACTAGCGCCCATAAGGGATGCCAGTGCTCCAGGCTAGGGTGTTAACCCGCTGCGCCACAGCGCCGGCGCCCAGGTATTTTGTGTTTCTAAATATTTACATCTGTAGCCCAGTGCTTGTTTGAAGGCAGTGCACATAATCAAACACCGGCTGCCACATCGCCTCCGGCCATGGACAAGGCTGCTTTGCACGCTCTGTCGTTTGTGTGAAATGTAGGCCTTTGGAACCCGCTCTACCGGGAGAACTAAGCGGTGTAATCTGATTGCCACACACTCTGTGTGCATCAGCCGGTGGCTGGGGTTCTTCCAGTGTCGCTGTGGGAATGCGGTGTTCACTCTGAAGCCACCTGGAGAGAAGACGGATGCAGACGTGAGACAAGCGGGAGGGATTCCGGCCGTGCCAGGGCTGCTGCCCAGGGCAGGGCACTGGGCTGCAGAGGTCAGGAGCCACCGTGGGCTTCCTCAGTGACACTGCGAGGAGGGTTTAGACCGGGGAGGGGGCACTTTGTGGACAAGATGTCGCTCCGTCTCAAACCTGCAGACGCCACTTCCCT